TGATCTGGGAGAGCTCAATCGGATAAGGTCCTCAGACTGCACAGCCAATGGGTGACAAGTCAGAGAGAGCTCCTGGTGATGATATGGAAATGCAAGCTGGCCCCTTGAGGAGTTCCTCTTTTTAAATTAGTGTCTTCACGTGTGTGTGTGTGTGTGTGTGTGTGTGTGTGTGTGTGTGAAAGAGAGATGATGGGTTAGGGACAGACATATGAAATTACTCTGGACTAGGGGATAGGCAATAGAAGCCCATTCAGATTTTACTACCCCTTAGCTAAACAAATCACCAAGCTTTCTGTATCACATTGTCTTCTTTAAAAAATGGCCTGGCCAGATGCAGTGACTCATGCCTGTAATCCTAGCACTTTGGGAGGCCGAGGTGGGCGGATCACTCGGGGTCAAGAGTTCAAAACCGGCCTGGCCAACATGGTGAAACCCCGTCTCTACTAAAAATACAAAAAAATTAGCTGGGCGTGGTGGTGGGCACTTGTAATCCCAGCTATTTGGGAGGCTGAGGCAGGAGAATTGCTTGAATCCTGGAGGTGGAGTTTGCAGTGAGCCGAGATTGCAGCACTGCACTCCAGCCTGGGCGACAGAGTGGGAACTCCATCTCAAAACAAAACAAAACAAACAAACAAACAAAAAAAGCCCAACTGGTACCACAGCACAAAAGCATGAACTGACAACTCTGAACCATTTTTAGCCCCTTGAGAAATGATTGTGAAGCTGGGGCCTTTAGATTCCTTTACTTTTTAAATGTTCTTTTAGTTTTTGTAGTAAAATAGTTTTGATAACAATTTCTAAATGGGCAGCATTATGTACTGAGCTATGGCTGTGTGTAGTGCTGATTTTCAACAGCTATGCTCATTATAAATTCGCTGACATAAAAAGTGCCATAGTGATGAACTCGTGTGTCCTGAGCTCTGAAATCGTGAAAATTTAATGGCTGCAGTTTCACTGCCTTGAGTCATGGTTCCATTGTTGCCGTTAGTTCCTGTTTAACATGCTTCAAGCATCCTACAACGGAGCAAGCTGATCCTTTCAAGACAGCTTGTCTTTCACCGTGTTCAGGACTGGGACTTGGAGCTTTGATATTTCCTGCGTCTACTCTGCAGACCACTCTATGAGTGTTCCTACAAGGTTAAGAGGCTGTCGTGAGATGCTGGGAACACCAGCTCTATTTTATTCTGGGCCTAGAGAGGGTGAACAGTTTGTTCTAAGACTCAAGATTTAGAACTACAGATTCTGAAAATCAATGCTTTTGACTTCTTCCAAGATGGAATGGGTCCAAAGAGAAGAGAGGCAAGAACAACTGACCACAAGCAAATGTATAGAAAAGTTATATGTCATGCATGATGCTGTGTGTTTTCGCATGATGGCCTTGTTCAATTTCCACAGAATTCCTATGTGTATACTTATTATATTCATTTTTGCAGATGAGGAAATTCGAGTTTAGGACATAAAGTAACTTGCCTGAGATCACACCACTCGTGAGCATAGAATTGGGTCTCCAATTTCATCTTCTTCATCATTTTGTCTTATAGTAGTGTTTGAACATTTGAAGAAGTTGTTAGATTCATCCATAGCCATATTATTCTCTTTGAACCCAAGTTTCCCCACCAGTGTAGGAGATTGGGACGATGCTGACTAAAGTTCCTTCCAACACCTGGATTTTACGAGGGGCTGTTAAAGGGTGAGTCTGTGCCAAAATGTTCTGGGTCTTGTATTTTTCTGTTCTTGTTAAGGGATGAATCGACTCTGCAAAAATGAATATAATGAATATACACATAGGAATTCTATGAAAATTGAACAAGACCATCACAAGGAAACCACATGAGACACTTCTAAGATCATGAATTGTCTTTACAAGGATTCCATTTGAAACCTCCTTTGGGAATCCCCAGAGACCTTCCGCAGGGTGTTCCTAGCAAGGCCCACCTTAAGCTGGGTGGCTTCTGGGGGGAAGTTTTCTACACATCACTTACCCAGCCATGGTGTGTGGGTTCTTGGCTCCCTTCCCCACACACACATTCCAAGGCAGACCTGTAAAAAGTTTTCCAAAGGAGCCACTGAGGGCTTGCCTTGGAGACATTCCAAACCTGTATGCTAGAGCTTAGTGAAGGGCCACAGTAATTGTGCAGCCCTACACTTTTATAGGAGCCTGGCATGCCCACACCACTCACCTGCTGACCTCCAAGGTGTCCACTGTGCCACGGCTCTTCCTAGAAATGGCACAAGGCTTTCTTTGCTTTCGGTCTCTGTTTTTGCTTCCCGGCTTTGGCCCTGTCTGTAACTGGGGCTCTAGGTTTTGTTCTCGGCTTTTGATTTTCCTCTCTTGGATATTTGTTCTGAGTCATATTTCTAGCCACTTCCATTTAGGATCATGTTGTACAGAACATTCTGCCTTTAGTCTGGTCACTTTTGACCCAGTCCACTCCCTCCGAGGAGCCCATGGGAAGAGAGTCTGGTCTGGACCTTCCCCACCCTGAGTGAGATGAGTAAGTTTCAAAGCCTGTTTCCAAGTTGAGTCAGGAAAATGGGAAATATAGTCTGCTCTCCAATTAGAAGTGAGGTTCGCAACACTATGTTGTATATATCAAAGAAGTTAAAAGAGAGGACTTCAAATATTACCTGCTGGGCGAGGTGGCTCATGCCTGTAATCCCAGCAGTTTGGGAGGCTGAGGCAGGAGGATTGCTTGAGCCCAGGAGTTTGAGACCAGCCTGGGCAACATGGCAAAACCCCATCTCTACAAAAAAAACACAAAAAATAGCTGGGTGTGGTGGTGAGTGCCTGTAGTCCCAGCTACTTGAGAAGCTGAGGTGAAAGGATCACTTAAGCCTGGGAGGTCGAGGCTGCTGTGAGCCGTAATTGCACCACTGTACTCCAGCCAGAGACTTTGTCTCAAAATAAATAAGTAAATAAATAAATAAATAGTACCAACACATAGAAATGATCAATGCTCAAGGTGATGAATACCTTAACGCCCTGACTCGATTCAGGCACACTCTATGCATGTTAAAAACTCCCACACGTGCCCCATAGGTTTGTAAAATATTAGATATCTATTAAAAACAAAAAACTAAACAAAACAAAGATGTGGGAGGATAAATGTGGAGAACATAAGATGAAAAATTCACTCCTGCTAAAGTAGCAGTGTACTTGGCCTGTGGCCTACTTCAGCCATATATATATATATATTTGGCCATTATTTTCCACCGATACTGCCCAGAGGTAATGGTGTCCATTGCAATTTAACAAATTAACACAAACTTAGTGACTTCAAACAACATAAATTCATTTTCTCAGTTTCCATGATTCAAGAATCTGGGTATGTGCTGGCTGATTTCTCTGCTTCAAGTTTTATTGGGCTGAAGTCCAGGTGTTGGCCAGGGCCATGATTCTTGTCTCAGGCTCAGGGTTCTCTTCCAAGCTGACTGTTGTTGACAGAATTCATTTCCTTATGGTTCTATGACTGACTATATCTTGTATGACTCTATAGCCTCCTTGCTAGATATCAACTGGGGACCACTCTCAGTACCTAGAGGCCTCCTGCAGATCCTTGCCACATGGCCCCCACATATAATTCACAACAGGGCTCTCTACTTTCTCTTAGTCCAGCAGGAGAATGTCTCTTTGGTGTTTCATCTTCTTACAAAGCTCTCTCTGGCTGAGTCAGGTTTACCAAGGTAACCTCCTTTGATTAACTCGAAGTCACCATGAGAAGAGGGATGAGCTAAGATTCCATTAGTGTCCTACCTGGTGTGCACCTACAGCAGGGGCAGCTCTGGTTTTCACTGTTTGTGAGTCTTATGTTTACTTTGGGAGTTGACTCCTGAAAAATATGGAAGAAAATAGTTTTAATATGATTATTTATGGCTACTCGACACTTGACCTTGTCAGACTCATCAACCCTTGGTTCTGCCATCAAGACTGTTACTCAACATACACAAACCCTAATTCTCACTTACCTACTACCATTCTTCACTTGCAGTGAGGGAGGGCCACTGGCTTTGCTGTATCACATATAGACCTGGGTTCTAATGGCCTCGTAAGTAGACTTTCAACCAGTTCTCCTTTTCTACATTCCACCAATAACTCCCATTCCAAAGGTACTTGATGCAAACAATTCTTGAAACTTTGGGGAGTTCTGTGATATATTTCAGGTTCTCTTGGCTAAGGATTCAGATTTGTAGATTTAATTAACATCAACTCATCTGCTTTCAAGATTCCTACATTTTGTTTCTGTTGAATCATCTTATTTCCTTTCTGTTTCAGTTTGGGGAGGAAAGGGATCTAAAAGAGTACACTCCATGTACCATCTTTTTTCCCATAAAAATTCTATATATTTAGGATTTACAGGTTGATGGTTTGACATACATATACATAGTAAATGCTTACTATGGTCAAGCAAATGAACATAGTGTGTGTGTCATCTTTAATCAGAAGGCTGCTAATTTCTTTCTTTGAATATTAGGGATCCATGAGTGACAGAGACGCAGCACGGCACAGAGGAGAATGGAGTCACTGGGAGTTTGGCGATCCAGTTTTGATAAGAACGAGGGGCATAATCTTGAGCAAGTCATTACCTCTTGTTGAGTTTTACTTTCTGTTTCTGTGAAATAAGGCATTGAATTAGGTAAACATGAAAGCACCATCAGTGATTTTACATGGTCCTACAATTTTGGAGGATTCTGAGTCAATCTAGTCAACTCCTTTTCTTTAGTGAGTCAAATAAAAGTTTTGGGTGTAAATATAGCATTTTAGTTAGGTTTCTATCACAGTTCACACAGTAGGACAGGGGTCAAAGTAGGCTTCTGGCCAAGATGCCCAAATCTGGAGGATCATCCCCAGACTGAATGTCCCAGCATTTCTGCCACATGGAAACCTATGCCATTTTTGAGATGATAATGTTTGTTAGGAAACCGAAAGTTAGGCACACCCATAGGTGCTTTGTCATTTCCACAACTTTTTCCTGGTTCCACGTTTGAAAGGCAATTAGGAATGGAAGCATCGCTAGTTTCTAAGGATCATGTCTGCGAGCCAGGATTCCCGATCCAGAGACAATGGCCCCGATGGAATGGAGCCCGAAGGCGTCATCGAGAGTAACTGGAATGAGATTGTTGACAGCTTTGATGACATGAACCTCTCAGAGTCTCTTCTCCGTGGCATCTACGCCTATGGTTTTGAGAAGCCGTCTGCCATCCAGCAGCGAGCCATTCTACCTTGTATCAAGGGTTACGATGTGATCGCTCAAGCCCAATCTGGGACTGGGAAAACGGCCACATTTGCCATATCAATTCTGCAGCAGATCGAATTAGATCTAAAAGCCACCCAGGCCTTGGTCCTGGCACCCACTCGAGAATTGGCTCAGCAGATACAGAAGGTGGTCATGGCACTAGGAGACTACATGGGTGCCTCCTGTCATGCCTGTATTGGGGGCACCAACGTGCGTGCTGAGGTGCAGAAACTGCAGATGGAAGCCCCCCACATAATCATGGGGACCCCTGGCCGAGTGTTTGATATGCTTAACCGGAGATACCTGTCTCCCAAATACATCAAGATGTTTGTACTGGACGAAGCTGATGAAATGTTAAGCCGTGGATTCAAGGACCAGATCTATGACATATTCCAAAAGCTCAACAGCAACACCCAGGTAGTTTTGCTGTCAGCTACAATGCCTTCTGATGTGCTTGAGGTGACCAAGAAGTTCATGAGGGACCCCATTCGGATTCTTGTCAAGAAGGAAGAGTTGACCCTGGAGGGTATCTGCCAATTCTACATCAACGTGGAACGAGAGGAGTGGAAGCTGGACACACTATGTGACTTGTATGAAACGCTGACCATCACCCAGGCAGTCATCTTCATCAACACCCAGAGGAAGGTGGACTGGCTCACCGAGAAGATGCATGCTCGAGATTTCACTGTCTCTGCCATGCATGGAGATATGGACCAAAAGGAACGAGACGTGATCATGAGGGAGTTTCGTTCTGGCTCTAGCAGAGTTTTGATTACCACTGACCTGCTGGCCAGAGGCATTGATGTGCAGCAGGTTTCTTTAGTCATCAACTATGACCTTCCCACCAACAGGGAAAACTATATCCACAGAATCGGTCGAGGTGGACGGTTTGGCCGTAAAGGTGTGGCTATTAACATGGTGACAGAAGAAGACAAGAGGACTCTTCGAGACATCGAGACCTTCTATAACACCTCCATTGAGGAAATGCCCCTCAATGTTGCCGACCTCATCTGAGGGGTTGTCCTGCCACCCAGCCCCAGCCAGGGCTCAATCTCGGGGGGCTGAGGAGCAGCAGGAGGGGGGAGGGAAGGGAGCCAAGGGATGGACATCTTGTCATTTTTTTTCTTTGAATAAATGTCACTTTTTGAGGCAAAAAAAGAAGGAACCGTGAACATTTTAGACACCCTTTTCTTTGGGGTAGGCTCTTGCCCCAGGCGCCGGCTCTTCTCCCAAAAAAACACTAATCCATTTCCCTAACCTAGTAACCTCCAGATCCCAGAGGCTCTCCTCACCTCAGCTGAGCTCCTTTGAAAGTGATTCAGGGGACTACGTCATTCAGCCTCATTTGCTGGACCAAATCTGGAGGGAGAACCCCTAAAACCCCTGAGTGAGGTTGCCCAGGGGGTTGTCCCCAGGTGGGGGGAAGCAGGGGAGAGAAAATGGTAGCCATTTTTACATTGTTTTGTATGGTATTTATTGATTCAGGAAACAAACACAAAATTCTGAATAAAATGACTTGGAAACTGCCAAAAAAAAAAAAAAAAGGAATGGAGGCATCTCAGCCTGTGTCTAAATCTTGCTGTTGATACGACTCCGATGACCAGAGGAACACCAGGGTCCTTGGTCTCATGCAGATTTAGATAAAACGACACAGACACATGTGGAGTAGTTTAAGGAGCACAGAGTTTAACAGGCAAAAAAGAAGGAAGAAGCTCCCCTGTACAGAGACAGAGGGAGAGAGGCTCCAAGCCCAGAGAAGAAACCTTGAGTGTGGCAGAAAACAGCCGGTTATATGAGGAGGCTGAAGGAGGCGGTGTCTGACTTGCATAGAGTTCAGGGGATTGGTGTGATCAGGTATGTCATTCACGTAGCCAGTGAGAAAACTGGCCCTCCCATCCTAGTCTTTTAATATGCAAAAGCAGGGCGCCATTTTGTTCTATACACGTGGGAATATGTGGGCACCGCCATGTTGCCAGGCACATGTTGGGGCAAGAAGAAGATGCAGGAACCGCCATGTTTGGCTGGACCCAGTTTCTAACGGCCGGTATTTGCATATTAAAGCTTGCTGGCCCGGCTCTAAGTGCTGGGGCTTTCCTGAAGCCCCTGCTAGACAAGAAACGTTTCTGGAGCTGCTTTAAAAGAAACCAAAACTTCCCAAGGATCCCTTTTCATTCTATCTGCTGAAAATAATGTCTTAATAACTCCTTTAATGCTGTGGTATAGGTTAGTGCATGATGATGATCTATTTCTGGCTGGGACTACTATGTACCAGGGTTGATGGCTATAGCTATCCTGATGAACTTGAGAAAAATACCTTTATTCTTAGGTCTAAATGTTGCAGTCTGACAAATGAGACTATTTGTTGTTTTATATGGGCTTCTACAGAGACCAGTTTAGAATAAATAATATAATAAATATAGTATTTGAACTCCTTGGGAGAAAAGCAGATTATTTGTTTCACTGTGTGTGTATCTGCCTATCATACATGTGTGTGCACATATGTGTACACATATACAGAGACACACATTTACACACATATACATATGTGTGCAGTATGTGTGTACGTACTTATAAGAATCAGACCTCTCTGGACATGTCTGATGAGCTGTGTCCTGCCCAGTGTCAGTTTCACTGAGGATCCCACCCCCCTCTCCCAAAGGAGCGAGGAGAGGGGGTGAAGGGACCCCTATATTTCACCCAGCTCCTCCCAAGACCCACAAGAAGCATGAGACCTGGGGAGACCCAGCAGTGGCGGCAGGGCTGCTAGGGTACCCAGGCAGTAAAGTGTGCCACAGGTTTAGGCAGGGGCTGTGTCCCCTACTTTCTCTCAAGAGAAAGCTGGGCATGACTGGGGCACATTGGAAGACCACGGTGAAGTCACAATGATGTCCAGTGCCTTGCAGTTAGGGAAGGGGGCCTAGAGAAAGAGAAAAGGAAAGAGATGGCAACCTCCACAACCTCCATGTGGTAGCTGACTGAATCAGGGTGGGGGGCTTCCAAAAATACCTTAAGAGTTTTAAGGAGGGTCACAATTAATTTTCTTTTTTATTAATATTTTCCTTTTTAAAAATTCAATCATTGGGGGCAAAAGTCAATAAAACACAAGGTATGTCATTCCTTGGGGCTTCCATGAACATTCCATCACCTTAAAGAGTGATGATCAATCTATCACCCCAAAGTTATCCCAATCCCTAGAACATTTGGATATGTTATGTTTCGTGGCAAAAGGGAATTAAGGTTGCTAAGAAGCTGACCTTAAAATAGAAAGACTAGCATGGATTACCCAGGTGGGCCCAATGTAATCACAATCACTCTTAAAAGAGGAAAAGGGAAAGAGTTAATTGGAGAAATGTGATGTGGGAAGAACCCAACCCATATTGCTGGTTTGAAGACGTGGGAAGGGGGCCTGAGCCAAGGGATGCAGTAGTCTCTAGAAGGTGGGGATGGCCCTCAGCTTACAGTTAACAAGCAAATGGGGACCTCAGTCCTACAACCACAAGAAACTAAATTCTGCCAACAACCCCAATGAGCAGGAAACCAGTGCTCCTCGAGAGACTCCAGAAAGAAATACAGCCTGCTGACATCCTATTTTCAGCCTGGTGAGACCCCTGCGGGACTTCTGACCTACCGAACTGTAAGATAATCAGTCTATGCTTCTCTAAGCCACCGAATCTGTGGTTATCAGTTATGGTAGCAATAAAAACTTACATGATAATCAAAATGTCTAGGCCCAAATGGTTCAATTCTCTCATCTTTAAACACTCTTCAGAGTTGCTCTCAACTCTAAAAAATCTCTTTCTACATTTTTATTCTTTTGTTCAAATAGGGCCTTGAAAATATGTTTCTCTCATGTCTTGCATGAGAGAAATATATTTCTGTCATTCAGCAGTTGCTGGAAAATTGTGTTTTTATTTATTAGTTAAAATTTTTTACCAACATATTTTGGCACTTTTTCATCTTGGATTTTTTTTTGTTACATCCTTAAAAATTGAAGTACAAATAGTGAGTTTTTTGTGGCAAAAGTAAAAGATGTATAAAACGAAGCATGGAATGAAGTGTTGATAAGTGTGAAGGGAAAAGGCACTTCTATACATTGTTAGAGGGACTATAAACCGACAAAGTCTTTTGGGTGATATGACAGTATTTTTATTAATAAGAAGATGACTTTCTTATGACCTCAGAATGTGCACAAAGGTAAAGATGTCTATTCTGACATTGTTTGAGATTGTGTTAAACTGGAAACCTAAATAAACTGCCAGAAAAGCAGACTGGAAGAATGATCCTGGGAGGAGTGGAGGAGGAGGGAAAAGAAGAGGGACACTCAGTCCTGGCTTCTAATCACCCCTACATTGTTTGACTCTTTTACAGTAAGGATGTGATCATGTATCTGTAAAGTAATGTTTAAGAGGAAAGATGGCTGGGCACAATGGCTCATGCCTATAATCACAGCACTTTGGGAGCCAAGGCAGGAGGATTACTTGAGGCCAGGGGTTTGAGACCAGCCTGGGCAACATAGCAAGACTCATCTCTACAAAATAATTAAATAAATGCATAAAAAGGAAAGACCATTCTTAGGTTCTTTTCCAAGAGAAATTCAGATCCACTTTTACTTTTCAAAATAGAAATGAAACCACGACATTATCAGTCCCAAAAAGTTCAAGGCAGCAGGTGGATAATTTAGTCATGGAGCTGGCTGGTTAGTTATTTGGATAATTGAATTTAAGCCATCGTGGATAATGTAATCCAGTTTAATTTGCAAAAATGTCAGGCCTGGAGACAGATCAGAAGGAAAACATTTGGTGATGGCAGAAACATCAATGGAGAGACTTGCTTAGTGTTATGAGCTCTCTGTAAGAAGCGACCCTTTCACAATGTAAGGACCCAGATTGAAAAGATTTGATGAAGAATCTTGGCAATCTGGTGTGTGTCATTAATGTGAGTGTTATATAATGCGTTTTGCTAATTTATTTATGAAATGGTTGATTTAGTAGTCCATTTGCCCCTGTCAAAAGCATCTGGGAATGCCTTCATTTTCAGTTTGTTTACTTGAATAATAACTTGATTTGGGCTTTCCCATTTGGCAAGTTGATTCTGATCCCAACAACATCTATAACACCACCACATGGTAGATTCCTATTGTTGTGGAAACATTATGTTTGTTGGTTTTGAAAAAGGGGACTTAAGTAAAAAATGGCATTATCTCTATGTATCTCCTTGGGTCTATGGCAGAACACCTTTCTGCTTTTACTGATCTTTGCCTCAGTCTCAGTTGTGCCCACTGCTTGTGTCCAGAAGGCTTGGGCATGGCTGGTGGGCTGGTGGGAGAGTCCAACTGACATCTATTTGTTTGGCGTCTCCTGGAAGAAAACTCATTATGTAAAAGGGCTTCAGGAGTCTTAGATGATGTGGGAGGGAACTAGACATTGTGAATATATGTGGGAGCTGGGACTCTAATTTGGTTTGTATCAGACAGACCCCATGAATGCCAGGGCTCTCTATAAAGAGACTGAAGTACTGGATCACCCTGGGGCCCAAGCAACCCTGCTTAGGGATCTCTCTAATATACACTTAACCTGGTGCCTATCAGCAACATTGCAAATCTACAGTACTTAGTGGCTTGATGTTAGAGGAGAGTGAGATCTGGCAGGGCAGCAGAAGTGCCCTTTGGGGCAATTGAACACATATCAGAATCCCCCTTGGAAGTCTCAGAAATATGAAAAATAGATTTGCTGAGGTCTAAATGCAAGCTGCAGTCACCCCGACATTGTGATCCCCATCTGTATTTGCATGCTAGTTATAACTGGTTTAAACTTGGCCTTTGCAATGAGCCCTGGATTTGAACTCTTCATTGAAGCAATCCTGTTGCAATGGTATGTTTTACTAAAAACATATCAATGTGTTAGAATAGGATGTGTGCAGTAGGAAATGTGCTATGAGAGTAAGCCCTGGAGTCCTTCTTACCCAGAAGAATCTGGCCCTTAGAGTTCTCCTTTGTTGTTGCTATGGTCTGAACATGTTCCCCAGAATTCATATTTTGAAACCTAATCACCAAGTGATAGTATTAAGAGGTGAGGCCTTTAGGAGGTGATTAGGTAATGAAGATGGAGCCCTCTTGGATGGAATCATGGCCCTTATCAAAGGGCTTGAAGGAGTGGACTTGTTCTTTTCCACCAAGTGAGGTCACAGTGGACCTCTTTCCCCCTTCTATTCCTGCTGCCACGTGAGGATACCTAGATGA